TGCCATATATATTAATATATATACTCACATGCACATATGATTATATATGTCACACTCCTCCTAGAGCTTGGGTGGGGGATTGACATCTGAAGTGTCCATAATAGCTTTATTGGAAAAAATAAACCTCTAACAATAACAGGATGATTAAGTAGACCAATGAGTCTGTAACAGCACAGAAAGCCCGGTCTAGTCTCTTCTCTCCCCTGCACTCTTGCCACTACCTCCAAGCCACACAGCTTTCTTCTCACCTGGGTTACTTGGAGTCTCCTCCCTGGTCTATTAATACATTCTGACTTGTTCAGTCTCCCATCTGTCCTCATAGCACACAGGTGACACGGTCTCTCTAAATGCAGATCTCAACATGTCATCCCCATCCTAAAACTGTTGATTGCCCTGCCCTTGGGGTGGTGTATGAGGCTTGCCCCCTTTGCTGTCCACCCTTCTCTCACCCCTCCATGCAGGGCTTGTCTCTTTCCTTTTGCCTAGCCCCACCAACCCAGATTGTTTCTTCATTAACTTGTCCTGTTGCTTTAGGCACCTGTTCAGTGCAGCTTCCTCTAGGCCACCCAGTCTGATCCTCAGTACATTGGGTTTGGGGTGCAACTCCTTTGCTGCTGCTTGCACGTGCCTTGGTCACCAGTCTCCCACTTCCTGTGACCAAGCTCACTGGCTGCCTTTTAGTCCCCCAGTCTGTGCATTGCAGCTGTTCACTGCATCTTCCTTCTTGAAATGCTAGTGTCCCTAGGTTCTCCTAGCTTTATTTCTGACTCTCTCATTCTCTTGTTTTTTTTTTTTTTTGATTTTTTTTTTTGAGACAGAGTCTTGCTCTGTTGCCTGGGCTAGAGTGCTGTGGCGTCAGGCTAGCTCACAGTAACCTCAAACTCCTGGGCTTAAGCAGTTCTGCCTCAGCCTCCCGAGTAGCTGGGACTATAGGCACGTGCCACCATGACCGGCTAATTTTTTCTATATTTTTAGTTGTCCAGCTAATTTCTTTCTATTTTTAGTAGAGACAGGGTCTCACTCTTGCTCAGACTGGTCTTGAACTCCTGACCTTGAGCAATCCACCACCCACCTCGGCCTCCCAGAGTGCTAGGATTACAGGCGTAAGCTACCACGCTCAGCCTATCATTCTCTTTTATCCACTGCTTCAAATTTTCATGAATTCTGAAATCTCTACCTTCACCCCAGTTCTTCTTGATCCTGAGTTTTCCAGCTACCTGTCGACCTTGCTTCCTGTGTATCTCGCATCCAGCATTTCTAAAACTACCCTTAACACTTGTTCCTTTTCTTCTTTCCCTCATTTGGATTTTTGACATCACCTTTCGTAGTGACCAGCTAGATACTTTGGCCCGAGTTATTTCACTTTGAGCCTTGAGGCTTTAGGAATCCCTGGATTCTGGCCTTGCTGACCTTTCCCAGTCAGGAATGGCTGCTGCTCTATACCAGCTCTTCTTTTCTTAGTGGCAGGGGCATTGTCAACCACCCACTCTTACCCGAAGGCATTTATTCCTTCAATAAATATGAGTATCTGCTTTGTGCAGTATCTTAGCTAGGTACAAAGTAGACAAAGCCCTGCTCTTGTGGCACTTAAAGCAAGTGAGAGCACACTGGATGACTGCAGGATTTGCCTTGAGAAACTAAATAGGGGGCCAGGGTTGCTGGAGGAAGGTGGCAGCAAGGGTTTCTTTCTGGACATATTAAATTTGGGAAACCTGGAAAACATCTCAATGTTCCATCTTGTTTATAGAATTAATACATCTGATTCTAGCATTAACATAGTATTTATTTAATAAGTGTGGGTTCTGGTGTCAGAATGCCCTGGGTTAAGTCCAGGCCCTGATGTTTACTAGTTGTGGACTTTGGCAAGTTACTTAATTCTTTGTCATTCTTACCTGCCTTGTGTGTAAGATGATGATTGTATTAGTACCTGCCTCCTTGCTGGGTGATATGAGGAGTGTGTGAGATGGTATTTAGAAAGCACAGTGCCTTGTGCATAGATGTAACCTATAAATTCCAGCTACTATTAGTCGTATTATTCTGACGGCCTCTGTCACTTGCATGATCCAGAACCTTTCCCATGATCCCTAGCCTCTGTTCACACACTGTTCTTCCAAATCCCACCCTGGGGGTGGTCTGCTGGGAATGCTCCCTTCTCACCTCTGTGCCCTCCCTTCCCACTTCCTCTGCCCTCTCACTCTTGAGCCTTACTGTCCCCAAAAGAGAAAAACCAGATTTGAAATGAATTGCCATATTGGCCCAGGGAACAGAGAATGGGGAAGCTCTGGAAAACCTCCCAGGGAAGTAGTAGTCTAGCTGGGCCTATGGGGATGCAGGGGCTGGTTTCAGAAAGTGGTGAGGAGTGTGCAGGTCAGGACAGTCACAGGATATCTCTACAACAGCCATATTTGAAAGCCAAAATACCAACGAAATAAGAGGCTTATGGAACAACTGAGGTGTGTGCCTCAGATTGTTTCCCTTTGCTTTGTAGGTAAATCTCTCCTTCCTCTGTCAATGACATTTTTGTTAGATTCTTCTAAGACACACTATTTAGGTAATTTTTCAGGAAATAAAAAACCTATATCATAGGTAGACACCCAAATGTTAGACAATTCTTAGCACCAGCATAAACAATTCTTGGGACCAGTCATGCACATTAGAACCCAGGAAATATGGTGGATCTGGGACCATTATGTGGTCTAAATCGACCATGATATGGTCTGAATGGTCTTGTGAGTCCTAAGGAGATGTTGAGGCACCTTCCAGTTCTGTTCAAACCAAGTAAACAGTCTTCATCCTAGCCAGAGCCTGCACCCTGAACGTCTGTATAAAGGTGAATGCTTACTAGTTGAGGTGTTGCTTTAGATCAACTTTTTTTTTTAAAGAAGTTAAAAAACTTCTGTGTTGGGTCTTTCTGTGTTGCTCAGGCTGGTCTCATACTCGTGGGTTCAAGTGATCCCCCACCCCCCACCTCAGCCTCCCAAGTAGCTGGGATTACAGGTGCAAGCCACCGCACCTGGCTGCTTTGAGAAGCATTTGTACATTCTTGAGTGCAAGCACCTGTGGTCCCACAGTATGGGCTGGCCTAAGCTGTCGGGAGATGCAAGTCTACCTTTAGCAAGTGACACAGTGAAGAGGGTTAAACCATTCAGGTCAGGGTAGAAAATTAGGTACCCAGGGAGTACGTGTATTTATGGTATGCCATTTTCTTGGAACCAGACCACTAAGTGCTCTAGAAAGAGGCTCAGCTGGGTTTGGCAGCCCCTTTGGGCTTCTCCTGGAAAACCTGCTCTGGCCTTCCCTTCTCCTCTTGTACTTCCTGTTATAACACCTGAGTGAGCTGCCTACCAGAACCTACCAGCATCCCTCCCCACCCTTCTCCCTCCACTAGATTCTGAACAAAAGCTGTATTTACTCTACTCTATCCTCATGGCAGAGGCTATACTGTGAATGAGGTAGGGAGGTTCCAGCCTGTTCTTAAAGTGGTGGTGGCATATGCTATCACTGCATCTTAGGGCTTGCGCAGAGGGATGGAGCTGGGGACTGGGGTGATATACTTGGAGAGACTGCAAGCCTGGTGCTGATGACAGAGTATGGTGACATCAGCCCACAGACATTGGGCCTTCAAATGTGCCTGTACCATTCCAAGGGCTCTCTTTGTATTAACTCCTGGAATCCTTACACATCTGTTGAGGTTAGTGCTTGTCCTGTTTTGTATAGATAAGAAAACAGCAGAGAGTTCAATGGTCACAAGTTGGGGTTTGAAGGTGCCTGGATTTCAATCCCAGCTGTCTGGCTCCAGAGATGTGCTCCGTTGGCAATGCCAGCTTGCCTCCACACACCAGGCTTGGGAGTTGGGACTCGGTGAGGAACCTGGGAAAGTTGCCATGGCAAGCTGGTTTAGAAAGATGGGTTGACAGTAGGGTAGTATCTAGAGAAGGAGGATGGGTTACGAGGAGGTGTGGTCCAGAGGAATGTGACAAGGTGGCAAGCAACACTGGGGATGAACAGAAGGATGGGATTAAGAGCAGTCCTATCATTTCTGCCACCAAGATCTCTCTTAACTATGTCTACTTCTTTGCAACTCCATGATCATTACCCTAGTGCAGCGAGCCCCATAGTGTGGCCTCTGGAGCAGCACCATCAGTATCACCTAGGAACTTGTTAGAGATGCAGTTTGGGGGATCCAGCAACCTGTGCTTAACAAACCCTCCAGGTGAGCCTGATGCAGGTTCAAGTCTGAGAGCCACTGCCTTTGTACTGGGTGACCACAGTAGTCTTCTTGCTTTGGCACTTTGTCTCTGTCCCTCAGTCTTGCCCTGTGCTCAGGACTTCCTTCCCCTGCTAGAATCATGTTTTTGCACCTTCCACACAAATTACATACCCTTGAACTCAGGGCTCCAAGGTTTTGCTTCTCGTTTGTTCCCTCAACCACTGCATCCCTGACACTCAGTTTACTGTGATCAGCTGTCACCTCACAGTGGGCCCCGAATAAAACCCAAGGACTTCTTAGCCTCCACACCTGCTGCTTTCTCTGCCCTTTCTGGAACCTTCTACCTGGCTTCCTGATGCACAGTCTCCCTGTCCTCCATTCACCTGTTGCCAGTGACAGAAGTCTCAGCTGAATACAGGGTACTTCAGGGTGGGTGGCTCTTGCCTCCTGAACTCGTGAGAAGAGCCCAAGGCTCTGGGCTCTGCTTGGCCTTTGGAGGCTCTGCACCCCCGCCCCCGACATTACTGAGGGGTTGGTATGATTACATGTGGCAGTTCTGACTGGTCTTTTCCTGGGAGATGGCACAATGGTTCCAATGGCAGGCTTTGGGATTGGAAAGCCCTGTATTCAACAAGAATGCTTACTTCCTAACATGAATGTGGGATTAAGGACATGAATTGCATAACGTGTTCAGTAAAGCACCCTAGTGACAGAAAGGACTGGTAAATTATTGAACTTTGTTATCAGTGATGCAGGTGGCAGCATTTATCAAGTCAATATCTTTGTTTGTCAGGACTTGAAGATACTGAAAATCTGTCTGGCTCCAAATTCTTTTGCAAGCCAAAGGAGGAGTAACCAGTGGGGACGAGAGGTTGAGAACGTTCAACTTCCCTGCAAACTTTGGTACAGATCACTTCTTTTTCCGTAGGTTGCCACCAAAGAGCACAATGAGCACAGTAAGTTTTATCGACTATTGAATTTTATTTTGTTTTTGACGTTGAAAACTGCCTTATTCCTTGTAGCACGTTAATGAAAGCACCACATGAGTGCTTCTGAGTAACCCTAGTTCTTGAAGGAGTGTGTATAGGGGCCTTCTGGTACTTAAACCAACTTGCTTGTCTTGAGCTGAATCCCAGATGTCAGGGATGGTGCCCCAGAGACAGAAGACTGTTTGGCCAGAGCATCCAATTCCAAGTCCAAATCCTGATGTCTGAGGTTTCTGTAGCAGGGTAGATCGCATAGTTTTGGACATACTGATAGTTTAATATAACAAAAATTTTATGGTATAGAATTTCTATTCACTGTATGTTTTGGGTGATTTCTCTCTCTGTAAGTATTCAATGTTATAGAATCTCAAGTTTTGAAAGGACCCTAGCTTCAAATCTACTTGCTGCCCTCTTACTCTTATTGGTGAACTATCTCTGTGTTGGCCTTTTGTTCTTCCTAAAATCTTGTCAGTCTGGAGTTCGTGTGACTGTTTCTTTTCCAAACTTCAATACCCTCAGAGAAAGCGTCGTGGTGGAACAGTAAGTTCTAGACAAACCCAGAAACGAACTCGGGAAGCAACCTCCACCCCTGAGATTTCTTTGGAAGCAGAACCCATAGAACTCGTGGAAACTGGTAAGTTTGGAAGGGATACCGGGACTGTGGGGTGTTAAGGTGGAAAGTCCATGGTATGGTGGGGAGCATGCAAGCTGGAGCTAGTCAGTGCCCTGTACAGCCACCTGCTGGCCATGGGGACTGTGCAAGTCATGCACCCTGTCTGAGCCTCTGTCCCCTTCTTTGCAGCAGGGGATCCTAGAACCTGCAGCCTAGAGTTGTCATAGGCTGAAATGAGTCCATACTGTGAAACACTGAGAACAGTACTTGGCAGATAACACTACAAAGCGTTAGCTATTAGAAGCTGCTCTCTGTTTTCAGAAGACCTGTGTAGTCCGACTCAACATTCACAACTTACAGCTAAACTGAGCAACGCTTTCCCCTTTGAAACCCTAAGACCTCTGCAGGTTTTGAAACAGCAACTCAGCTAGGCCAGCCATTCAGCCCTTTGGTAATGTGCAACAGGGAAGGTGAGACTGCCTTGCCTTACCTTTTCTATTTGAAATTGCTTTGCTTGACCTTGGGAAGTACTCGGCTTTCCTTTTCCATTTTCCATTAAGACAAAAAATCTCCGAAGAAGTCAAACTTGTCAACAGAGCTACCTGTGGTAGAGCTTGGTGTACAAAGAGGCCAGATTGGATTTTCCCCTTTTGCCTGCTTAGGAAAGTGTCAAATGGCCTGAATCAAAGTCTCTTTGCTCTGCATATATTAAAATTGTTTTTATAACTATGATTCCTGGAAACTGACATTTTAAAGAGAAGCAACTTAGTATGAGATAAAATAATAGAATTCTCTGTGTGGTCTCTTGAGTTTTACTTCTAACAATGAATTCCTGAAAGCCTTGACTTCTTTGCCTAGAGGCTAGGACCCTGGCCCTCCATGCCCTTAGCTGGTGCCATCCTCAGTTGTGATACTGAGCACACAAGTGGTCACTTGGAAGACTCAGAATCTCAGGCCCAGGAAGGATCCAATTGCTGTGCAGCGTGGCACTTGTCATCCTACAGGCAGTCTTACCCCGTAGCAAGACTGTTCGCCCAAGCTGCCCATCGGAGCGCTGGTTTTGTAAGAGCCAAGAGTTGTGTTCACCAGAAAGAAAATGGTTTGATAAATTATTGTATATCAATATATGGACTACTAGGCAGCTCTTGTTTTTAATAAAGAATATGATAAGTTTGTATAAATTACATTGGATATCTACAATCCATTGTAGTTTTTATTCCTGTGAAACTTTTTAATACAGGGAAACAAGACAAGTTAAAATATGTTCAATGCATTACAAGTCACTTTCCTAAAATACTAGACCAATACTATTTCTAGAAATCTTAAAATCAGTACTGTGCATGGTACTTTTTAATATTAATAGTAATCAGAAGCAAACATTGTTATAAATCTTTTTTTAGTTTTATAAATGGAAGTTGTGCTTTGCCCCTCATTCATAACTGCCATTAACTGCTTGGTCTATGTCCTTCTCACCTTCATCTTATGCTCAGATAGAAATCACAGTATATCCTAGGGCTCAAAAGGCAAGCTTCACAGCAGGCCCAACCCATATTGGTTCCAGGGGACTAATAAATACCACTGTTCTCCATCCAGTTTGGGAGGCACTTGAGAGAGAAATGGAGCTTAAAAGCCTTCCCTAGATTAACTGATGAAGTTATTAAGCTAAGCAGAACTTTGGGCCAAGTGAAGGTGATCTGCCTCCCCTGCTGGGATGAGCAGAGGATTCTTGCTGCTGGTCCATCCCAAAGACAAAGGCCCTGAGCTGAGCATGCCTGGTGCCTTCTCCCAGATGTCCTGTCACGTGAGTCACTGTATCACCCCTGTGAAGGACGCAGGTGGGGCACAGAGGCATAGCCATGTGACCGTGTGACGCCATGGGGTAAAGATGTGTGTGCACGCACACATACACCTTGATAGTACATTTGTGAAAAACCATCTACCCCCACTCATTGCAAAATTCCAAGAGGGCATTTATTGGCTATCACTCCTGAAAAAGAGATTGGTCCTGATGCTCTTTGCATAGTGTAGTTAAGGGTTTTTTTAGTTTGGTATAAGCCTGTACCCCATTTGTAATCAAATCAATAAAGCTTAGATGGATACACCCATACCCTTACTTTGCTCCTAATCCTTGTCAAAATACTTTTTTTTTTTGAAGCTGGAGATGAAATCGTGGACCTTACCTGTGAATCTTTAGAGCCAGTGGTTGTCGACCTGACTCACAATGATGCTGTTGTGGTAAGTGTTTGAGTGTGAGAGTTAGCCATTTCTGGGGTGTGGGTCCCTGGCCACTGCCAGTGTCTGAAGACCTTGGGTCACAGATTACAGGTCAGGGTTGTAGCTTGTGCTGAAGAAATTCGTGCATTCAGTGACTGGAACCCAAAATGAAAAATGTTTCAGGAAAATCATTTATTGTGACTTTGTTGCCTGTGGAGTAGGTCTGTGTAACTCTGACCTTTCCACAGCTGGGCACAAAAGTGGTTTGGGAAGAATCTCAAGGCTCCCACATCTGTCTTCAGTCCCTGATTCTACAATTTACACCACTTGTGTGACCCTGGGCATGTTACTTAGCCTCCCTCACTTCATTCATAATATGGGTTAAGCCACCCGTGTCCGTGGTTATTGTGAGGATTAAAAGAGATTTCATGTTTGAGTATCTGGCACCTAAGATGGTACCCAGTCAAGGTGAATTTATGCCCTTCCAGCTGAAGGGAAAGGGAATGTTTGCTCAGCACTGCCAGTGAGAAATCTTCCCAATTCCAAAAACAACTGCTAGTTAACATTGCCGCAGGGGATGCAGGTACCCTGCATTACCATCTGATACCTTGGCTGTATTCTGACGCCAAGGAGGGTGGAGCCTAGGAAGGTGTGTGTGGGCCCTGTGCACAGTCTGCGGAGAATGGGGCCTGGTCTGGTCAGAGGACATATGGACAAGTTAGTTCTGGGATACCTGTTCCACAGTACCCACAGTATGCCCATCTGGTGTGAATCTGGACTGGCATGCCTCTCCTGAAGAATGCCACTTAAGTGTTTTCTGACAGTGTGCCAAGACTGCGGCTTGGGGAGTGGAGGTGGTGGCCCACCTGATAGTGGTGGGCAGGTGTGTGGAACGCAGTGCTGAATGGGATAGGGGTGCAGTGGGGTGTGTGGGGGTTGCTGTTTGCTGAGTCTTCACCTTGACCCTGGACTCACTGGTGTTGGAGTTATCTTGCCTGGCTAAGGCCAGGCTGTCAGAACATAGACAAGCTGTAGGCACTGCTTCCTGCCTGTGCTTAGAACTTCAGGATAGGGTTGTGCTGAGAAGCTTCAGGACTTAAGTTAGAAGAAAAGAATGGGGATGGGGAACTGTCTTGACAGATTTGGACTCTGGTCTTGGTTTGAAACCACTGGGCTGTCCTGTTGTTGTCCCCCACCCACATCTGATAGACTACCTCTAGCATCAATAGGATCGTGGAAGAAAGCTCGGGGGACATTGGCTCCCAATTGGGACCTAGTGGTTTCCCTGGAGATTGGTTAGACCTTTCAGAGATAGCAAGAGTAGGTTTAGTCATAAGCCGTCTCTACTGAGGCCTCATTTGTGTGTTTTCTGAGGTACATAACACTATAACTTTGCTGGTAGTCCCTGTAGGCTCCCTAGAGTTCTAGAAAGATAGCTTAATTTGGCACATTGGCTGAAGCCTGCAGCCCAGTTGCTGATTAATGCTGGAAATAGTGCCTGCAAAGTCCTTTTTTTTTTTTCCTTGAATTCTCAGTGTCTACCTACAGTATACCTGGCTTTCTCTTTCTCTCTCTGCCAGGCCCAGGGAGATAGCTAGGATTCTGCCCATAGAAAGACAAAGGTTGGCTTCTATTGGATGACAAACCAACATCATTTCCCCTTCCACACCTTTGTTTGTTTTGATGACTAGACTGCTATTGCTACGTGGGCTTCCTCTCTGAACTGTCCTACCTTCTTTCTGTTTCCCTAGGCTTGGGCTCTGTATTCTGGCACCTCTACTCCCATTTAACCTGAGGCTGCCTGGTTAACCTTTGTAAGCTCTGTGGTCAAGAGAGTCATTGGGAAGACCCAGGGACAGGAATACTGGCGTGGGGGCTGTCCTGGGAGTAACTGGATGGCCAGAGGCAGGTTGATGGGTAAAGGGTAGACAGTCCTGGCTTGGGAAGTCCTGAGTTCTGGTCTCAAATCTACTGGTTGATTTGGTCAGGATTTCCCTCATACCAGCTGCAGTGTCCCCAGCTATACAGAATTGTTTTGGACTCAATAGTTCTCCTTATTTTAATCATTCTCCACAGGCTGATTTTAATAAGTCCAAATTCCAGTTTATTGATGTTCAGTGAGAAGTACTCCTGGGTTCAAAATTTTACCTCTCTGAGCAGATCTGCTTGGGAGGCCTAATAGTATTAACTCAGGACAAGGGGCATCTATTAGATGAGTTATTCTCAGGGTGACCTTTGACTCTACTTACAGGAGAGTATGAAATGGATAAACATATCCATTCCAAAATTGGGGTGATCTTACTAATTCAACCAGGATCTGTTGGAATAGTTTAAGCGTACTGCTTGAGCTCCAGCAGTAGCTCTGTATCTTTCAGATAAGGTAGGATTTCCTAGATACCAGGATCCAGGGGCAGCCTTCAGGACATTGGGAACCCTCTTAAGACTAGAAACTTTGCATGTATTCTTGTGCATTTTTCTAACTCTGAAAGGAATCCAAAGCCCCTGAAAAATTAGGAGAAATGAAAAATGCTGTAAGATGCAGTGAGACTTTGTACATCTCTGCTTTGTTAGTTTCCCTCAAAATTAACTTATATTTTTGGCATTATATAACCTTAAAAAGGCTAGCACCCCTGAGTCCAAGATATGAGTATCTTTGATTTTTATTAGATAAATGCCAACCTCTTTTCTGAAGAGGTTGTACTAGTTTACACTTAGACCACTGTTGGGGGTTCTCATTGTTCCAGATCCTCACCACCACTGACATGGTTTTACTCTGTCACCCAGGCTGGGGTGCAGTGGTATAATCATAGCTCACTGTAGTCTTGGACTTCTGGGCTCAAGTGATCATCCCGCCTCAGCCTCCCAAGAAGCTGGGAGTACAGGCACAGGCCACCATGCCTAGCTAAGATTTGTGTTTTGTTTTGTTTTTCTTAAGAGGCAGGAGTCTCACTATGTTTCCCAGGCTGGTCTTGAACTCCTGGCCTTAAGTGATCCTCCTACCTCAGCCTCCCAAGCAGCTGGGATTGCAGACCTGAGCCACCATACTAAGCCTCATCACCACTTCTTAATTTTAGCCAATCTGATAGTTGTCTAGTAATATCTCATTGTGATTTTAATTTGTTTTTCTGATTAGTAATGGGATTGAACACCTGTCGATGATTCATTTTTCTTTTACAATGGCCTGTTTGAAATTTTTGTTTTACAGCTTTTTTATACAACTTTTATATATAAACTTTAAAATAGCTGAAGAAGTTGAATTAGAATGAAGCAAATCCTTTGTCTTTTTTTTTTTTCAGGAAATCATTTTTTCTATTCATTTTTCCATTTGATTATCTGCCTTTTCCTGATTCATAGGAATTCTTTGTAAGTTCTAAATATGAGTCTGCTGTTACTTAATATGTTTTGTGTCTTCTACTTAGAGGCTTATCTTCTCTTTGATGTTTATATATAAAAGCTCTTAATGTCTTAATAGTTGGATTTCTCAATATGTTGAAGAAATATTGTCCTTCCCCTATCATAAAAAGATATTCCTATATTCTAAAAGTTTACTGTTTTGTCTTTCATATTTATATTTATAATTCACATGAATTGACTTTTGTGCATAGATTGAGATTCGGATCTTTAATGACTCTCAGTAAAAGTTTTCTAAAGTTGCCCGTGAAGGTTTTACAAGTCTTTTGTAGGACGATTTATTTCTAGGTACATAGTATTTTAGGATGCTGTTAAATATTGTTTTAAAATTTCATTATTTTTGTTTTTCATTGTTTGCTGATATAAAATTTTTGTTTTCGTTCATTGTTTACTGATATAAAAAGTACAGTTGACTCACGCCTGTAATCCTAGCACTCTGGGAGGCCGAGGCGGGCGGATTGTTTGAGCTCAGGAGTTCGAAACCAGCCTGAGCAAGAGCAAGACCCCGTCTCTACTAAAATCAGAAAGAAATTAATTGGACAACTAAAAATATATAGGAAAAAAAAAAGGTCTGGAGTAGCAACGATACTCGATTAACAAAGCCCACGGACAAAAATAGAGAAAAGGAGAGAAAAAAAAAAAAAAGTACAGTTGATTTTATTTACTGGATTTTTTTCTTTTCTTTTTTTAATTTAGCAACTCTAAATCTTTTGGACATTTAGGTGCGCAGAACAAGTTTTGGGTTTTTTCATTTCCTTTTTTGTTTTCCTGTACTGGCTGAACATGAAAATGCTGATAGTCGTGAACATTCTTGTCTCACTCCAAATCTGAAAGAATCCTTTCAAAGTTTCACCGTTAAATAAAGTCTTTGCAATAATATCCTTTATCAGATTGGAGAAATTCCTCTGTATTTCCTGTTTGGCTACAAGTTTTCTTCGTGAATCAATGTTAAATTTTATAACAACTCCATCTATTTTCCTTTTTATATATTGAAGTGGAGAGTTCCTTTGGTTCCAGTGTTCAACCAGCTAAACTTACTGTGATCATGATGTATTATCTTTTTATATATTGCTAGATTGAGTTTGCTGATAAAACTTTTATGTATGATTTTTGTGTCTATGTTTGTGAATAAGACTAGTTGATCTGTAATTGGTCTTTTGTGCACATTCCTTACAGAGTTCTAATATCAGTAGTGGTATCTTTATAAAGCGACTTGGGGAGAGTCACTATTTTTCCTCAGAAAATTTTGTAAGATGGGAATTACTTCTTCCTTGAGTCTTTTGTAGAACTCTGCAGTAAACGTATCTAACCTAGAGTTTTAATCAGTTTTGGTAAGTTGCAGTTTTTAGGAATTTATTGATTTCATCTAAAATTTTCACGTTTATTGGCATAAATTTGTTCATAATATCTTCTTATGTTCTGTAGTGATGTCACTTTTTTCATTTCTGATACTGCTTATTTGTGTTTTCTGTCTTTTTAGATTAGTATCACCAGAGCTTTGTTAGATCTTTCAGAGAACCAACTTTTAGCTTTGTGGATCCTTTCTCTTGTAAGTTTGTTTTCATTTCATTGATTCTTTCTTTGTGTGAGTTTATTTTGCTGTTCTTTTTCTAACTTACTGATTTTCATCATTTCTTTTCCAATAATAGTCATTTAACATTATGTTTTTCTTTATCCTACAGATTTTGGAATTGGTTATTTTATATTCAATTTAGCATTTGTGAGATTTTTGTGGATTTTCTCTTTGTCGTGGATTCTTTGTATTATTTATTATAGTCAGAAGATACATTCTGTATGTCAGCTCCTTTGTATTTGTTGAGACTTGCTTGAAGGCCTCACCTGCACAAGGGTGGTCCTTAATACAGTAAGGATACTGTTTTAGGCCTGGACTTTGGTTTCTGTCTTCTGTTGGTGGTTTCAAAAGCAAGCTGCAATTTTTTAGGAATCATCTGTGTGTTATTCCTCTGGATTATTGTTTCCCTTTCACTTTTGACCAAATTTGTTCATTTGTTTGTTCTTTCTTCCTTTTTGTCACCTTTTTGTTTGTGTAACTATATATGATACATCTATTTTATCTTGTTTGTTTTCAGTTAGAAAAATTATCAAAATAAGTAGCTTGCCATTTGTTAGAAATCTCTCTGCTTATGTTTTCCATTCTTCTGCTTTCTTACCTGGGGTTTTTTTTTTTTTTTTGACAAGAGTCTTGCTCTGTTGCCTGGGCTGGAGTGCCGTGGCGTCATCCTAGCTCACAGCAACCTCAAACTCCTGGGCTTGAGCAATCCTCTTGCCTCAGCCTCTTGAGTGGCTGGAACTACAGGCACGTACCACCATGCCCAGCTAATTTTTTCTATTTTTAGTAGAGACAGGGTCTTGCTCTTGCTCAGACTGGTCTTGAATTCCTAACCTCAAGCCTTCTACCGCTTCAGCCTCCCAGAGTGCTAGGATTATAGACGTGAGCCACCATACCCGGCCTCTTACCTGGTTTATAGGTGGATTAGAATTTCAGGTCACTTTTTAAGAGCATTTGCAATAGGCCAATCTCTGCTATGGCTAGAAGAGATGCAGTGGTGGAAAGACAGACTAGCTCTCCTCTTTAAGGAATCGAGTCCTAGAGCAGGAGATTATTGGAAATGTTGTTTGGACTATTTTCCTTAATTAAATGTCAAAAGATTGCCTCTTTCTTTTTTTTAGTCTCAGAATCTCACTATGTTGCTCAGGCTGGTCTTAAACTCCTGGGCTCAAGTGATCCTCCCACATCAGCCTCCCAAAGTGTTGGGATTACAAGTGTGAGCCACTGCACACAGCCAGATTGTCTCTTTTAAAGCCAGGTTGATTTTCCTGGAATCATTTTTTGTCTGTTTCCATAATGTGTTAATGAATTGTTCTATTTGTGTTATATTCTGCATCCTGCCTGATTTTTCATTTATGACTCTATTGAAACGACCTACTTGATAGAGGCTTCTTTGCAGGCAGGAATATAGCCCTGTCCAGCTCTCTGTCTGGATGTGGTAAAGGACACAAGAGGCATACTGTTGGAATGAGTGAACCAACCTAATTATATGTGAAGAAAGATAGGCTCGGACATCTTATCCAAGAATTAGGAATACAGCTGTACATGCAGTCTAAGATGGATCGGTTACTCAGAATGTTATTGTCAGCGCCCATCTTACTGGTACTCCTGCCAGTGCTGCAAGTAATAGTAATTAGTAATTGCATGATATGTGCAACTGTTGAACATAAGGAGTAGCCTTTTGTCTGGGCGCGGTGGCTAACACTTGTAATCCCAGCACTTTGGGAGGCTGAGGTAGGAGGATTGCTTGAGGCCAGGAGTTTGAGGCTGTAGTGAGCTATTGTCAAGCCACTGTACTCCAGCCTAAGTGACAGAATGAGATCCCATCTCTTAAAAAAAAGGAGTAGCCTTTTGTGAGCAGAGTGATTAGCTGTTTTTTCCAGTGGAACAATGTATGGTGCTGTGAGTTGGAGGGTTGTCTAAAGCAAGTGTTTCTTGGTTCTCTTGGCTAGATGAGCATTCTTAGAAATGCTGGGGTCAGCTTGAGTGCTGTGATTCTTGCTACTTTGATCTCTTATGTTGAGGTGTTCTGAGGCTCACTGGTGCTTTAGAAACACAAAAGGGCTTGGGGTGACCAAATATGTGTGCCTGCTACAGTCTCCACTCTTACTCTCCATAGTCAAGAAGGAGAAGCCAAAAGTAAAGGTAACATACGAATTTCTCATCTTGGACCAGCTTGCCATGGTACTAACTAAACTGTTCAGGCCAGGGGATTGGTTAGTTCTCGTTATTTCGGTTTTATTTTTTACTTCTTTTAAAAGCTTTTTAACCAGATTAGAGGCCCTAGAGCTTGTGTTGTGCTCTGCTACTCTTCCCCCTGCCTCCATCTTCTGTGCCGGGCAAGCATTGTGCTACCTGCAGGCTATTGCTGTGAGCTAGGTACATTCCAGAGTGCTTGAGACACTTCCAGGGATTGTGGGACTTGGTGTGTCTAGCTGTGGGGTAGAGGGAGCACCAGTGCTAGATGTTGTGTCGTGTCTGTCAGCTGGGGTCCTGGGGCACAGAAAGGGCATGGAGCTGGGCAGCCACGCTCTAGTGCCATTCTTATACTGCCCTCTGGGCAGGAAGCTGCATCTCGGAGCTGTTTGTCTCTCACTGAAGGTGGGGAAGGTGAGAGTCATCACCAGTGAGGGATGTTCTCCAGCCACCTTGTTTTCATTTACCCAGAAGTCCAGTGTGGAGCACTTGCTGGATGCCATCATCCTCCTGGGCCCTGGCACTTTGAAGCAGATACACCTCCATGGGGGCTCAGTATGTGGCATTGCCCAGAGGTGAACTGGGTATGTCTCATAGGAGTCCATGGAGACCCAGTTCCCACACCGTGATTGCCAGGGAACTAGGCCTTTCCAGGTATATCTACACCTAATCAGTGAGGGTGGGGGTGCAGTGTTGGAGCCCTAGGAATCTGGGGTCATGTCTGCCCATAGCGGAATTTATTTCTGTTCCTAGCTGAATTCGGGGCTTTCCCCAGGGGCCAGCACTGCTATCAGTGCCTCCCTGTCTGGGCTCCCCTTTTCTAGATTTCACCTAGTGATGAGGTTGACTGACTGTCCCAGATTTCCATCGTCACCTTCTGTACTCTCCTCTGGGAGGAAGGGGAAACATTTTTGGTAGCTTCGTGTGTGTGGATTATAGTCTCATCTGCAAAATAAAGATCTTTATATTCAGATCTACATTCTTCCTAGGGTGGCCATTTGTATCTGTCAGGGTTCAGTTTGGGAAACAAAACCCACTCCAGTTATTCTTAAGCTTAAATGGATTTTAACATACGGAAGGAGTTATTTACATGATGTTGAAAAGCCTGGAAGAGTGGGCTCCAGGCTGGGTCCCTAGGAATAACTCCTGACCTCTCAGCGTTGACCTGCCTGGGAGCTGCTATGTCCATCCTCCTGCACTAATATCTTTGAATTCAAGTAGACTCTACTGCAGCCCCTTTCTAGGGAGGAGAGGGGCCTGGGCTTAAGATGTTGGCAGCCTCTGCCTGGAACTGCTTCTTGATAACCCTAGCTGTGCTGGCTGACAGTAATGCCTACCGCAGCTGAAATTGGCCTCTACCCTTCTGGCCTTGCCAGTGGCATGAGCATGTCTAATTGAGGGAACTTAGTTCACATCTAGAATCCCTGCTACAAGGGAGTCAGAATAGAGTCACGACAGGGCAGGACACTGTTGCAAAGGGGCAGCCCCATGCCCTCCCACCAAAAGGGGCAGCTAAAGTGTGGGCTGCAGGTGTTAGTGGTGGGAGCTTGCCTGAAGCAGTTCTCATGCACGCCGAGTGAGAGGGAAAAGCTGTGCCACTGGCCACCCCTTAGGTAAGAGTATTCAGCTTGGCCAGAAGGTGGAGGAAGTGACCAGGTTTGAAACTGTTGTAGCAGAAATTGTCTAAATGTAAATTCTGAGCCATCCGGCAAGGGACTTGTCAAGTTCTCAATAACTTTTTTTGTAGGCATCAAGAACACAGAATTGAATTGATTTCCATCCTTGGTGTGTGTCATACTCATTGGTCCATGCATGGCAGCCTGCTTTTATTTATTTTTATTTTTATTTTTTTTTTTAGTTAATTATTTTAAATAATGTATTAAGCACTGAAAACCCTCCTCCAAGTAGAGGCTCTGTCTTTGGCAGTGGCCTACATTGGCCATGGCAGCACAAGGAGAGCACGTGGGAATGGTCACGGGCAGCATTTATTGAGCACCATGGCCCTGGCACTGTGCTGCATGTTCGTTGTCTTACTCAGTCCTCACAACAGTGCAGTAAGGTGCTGGTGCCTCTGTTTTTCAGAAGAGGAAGCTGCAGCTTCCAGTCAATAAGGAACCTTCCCAGGTCATGCAGCCAGTACATGGGTGGCTATGCTTGTGCTCCAAGAGACTCCACTAAACACCTGGTGGGGCGAGGCATAGCACAGTAGCTGCTGGGAGGCAGGTTGACCCAGGAATGGTGCAGCAATTGCTTTGGAGAGGCGCACAGATCCTCTGTGGGTTGGTGAGGGAGGGCTGGGGACTCCGCTGCTCACCAGAGGATTCTGCAGAGGCTAGCACACATTAGAAACAAGTGCTTCCATTTTATTACCTAAATCAAACTGATTGCTTCTTTCTCTCTTGTTTTTCTTCTCTTTAAAAGATTGTTGATGGTGAGTGATTTCATCTCCTTTTCCACTGGGTTTGGAGACAGAACTGGCATGGGTGAGGGCCACAGTGCTGCAGGCCTTGCCAAACCGTCCCAAGGGGTCCGAGAACTACAGGCAGGAAAACGATCTCATGGACAGACCTGCACAATCAGTCCCTTTGCACCTGCTGAAGAACCTTCACCCCTGTCGCTGCGCACTGAGCTAAAGTCCTGATGGATTTTGGAGAAGGCTGACAGCTTTAGACTGCTCTGCAGCTCAGGCACCAGCTTCCAGTAGGGATGGAGGGGTTCCTCCTGGGAAGACAAGACAGTGGCTTTGGGCAAGATCCTGGGCAGGACTTCTTTTGGGATGTAGATGGACATAGCAGCAGTTTCTCTCGGGGTATCCCAGGCAGGGAAGGAGGAGAGTTTTTAGAGGCATCAGGGTGGAGTGGTGAGGATGGTGAGAGTAGGAGCCTCCAATTTGTAAATGTGACTCTCACCTTAGAAAGGAGAAGGCCAAGGAGGAATGCTAGGAGGCTGCGCCAGGACCATGCTGATAGCTGTGTGGTGAGCAGTGACGATGAAGAACTGTCCAGGGACAGAGACGTGTATGTGACCACCCACACTCCCAGAAACGCCAGGGATGAAGGTGCTACAGGAGTGAGGTACCACCTTGTCCCCTGGTCTGTTGCTGCCATGCTTGGGGTGGAAGGCCAGGGTATAGAAATACTGTACTTTTCAGGAAATTCGTGAGTCCTTGGCTCTAGGGGGCCTTGGCCAGGCATCTGCCCAGTTGCTGGATATGGTTGCAAGTGGATCTATAGCTGGGCTTAGCTATTCCCACAGCGACCAGAGCTTGCCAGGCACTGACGGGGTGGGTGTGAATAGTCCTGGTGCCCCAGCCTCCTGCAGCAGGAATGCTTGAGGGGTGGCAGTCACATCCCTGGCCCCAGACTGGGATTCTGGAGGAGGGGCTCTCTGTGTGAGCAGAGGCTGGGGGTGGGGGAGGGCAGGGTGCCTCGGGTTGTCTGCACTTTGATTGTTCCAGTCTCTCTTCTCCTCTTTCTTTTGGTCACCCCGCCACACCCCCTTGGGGTAGTCGGCTTTCCTGAAAGTCTCCTGGATGTCAGTGCTAAGGCAGAGTCAGAGGTGGCCAGAGGAGGGACTCTTGTAGGGGATATAGGCCGCTTATACCAAGGCCACTTATAGGGTTCAATTGAATGTTTTGAGTTTACTGAGAAACTGATGTGAAGCACTGTGATCTTAGGCCATCTGGTACTGTCAGTTGTCCGATCTGCATGGACGGATACTCAGAGGTAAGTAAACTAAGCTGTATCTTCCCTACTTTTGGTTTCTAAACTGATTGAGTGAAAGAATTAGATAAGATCTTCTCCTTAGGTGGGATTTAACACACTTGCCTGCAGTCATGCCCGGGCCATGGCTTGTTGTATATCTCTGTGTGGAGGGAGAATGTGCCAGTTTCTCTTTGGGCCCTGCAGCCTTCAACTTCAGCCCCTGTATGCCCTGCGCTTCCTGATGCCAATGCATCAATCTTTTGTGTCCCCTGTCCTAGCCCTAACCAAAAGATACTAGCATTTACTGGGGCCCCTTATAACCCTTTTGAGCTGCCACCACTGAGGTACTGTGGCTCCTGCCTCCTGCTGTCCATTTAGCAGAGACCACCCATACTTGTCTTACTGAGACTGCACAGCAGGTATCCTTAGTTCTCCAGACCATCTCCCTGCTTTTCCTGCTGCCGTCCTGGCCCCTCCTTCCCTCTCATTGGTCCTCTTAGGGATGGGCAGGGGTAGGATTCTGTGGGGACTGCTGCTGCTCTTGGACAAGGGCAAACTTGAAGGCTGTTCCTTTCAATGTCTTCTAGATTGTGCAGAATGGACGTCTCATTGTTTCTACAGAATGTGGCCATGTCTTCTGTAGCCAGTGCCTCCGTGATTCCCTTAAGAATGCTAACACTTGTCCAACTTGTAGGAAAAAGATCAACCACAAACGGTACCACCCCATTTATATATGAAGTGTTTAGAGCTGCTCAGGAGAGACGGATGGACAGACAGCCTGGCTGGGTTCTCCATGTGGTATCTGCCTCCATTTTCCTGAGCTCAAAAAGACTATTTCCAAACCAACATCTGATGTGTAAACTGCTCTTTTGTTTCCAGCCCCCTTTTAGATCCTTTTGTTTCTCCAGTTTGATGCTGTGGAGCTGGACCCAGGGCTGTCCCAGGCCAGGCTCTACATTCCTGTTCCTGGGGTGGTCTGATTCCAGAGTAGGAGAAAGGGAGTCAGGCACGTTGGACTAGAGAATTGTGGTTCCACTCTGTTTCCGGAACCTGCACGTTTGCCAAGAAGTTTTCCCTATTTGGAAAGTTTGCCCCAGCTCTCCCAGCACGCCACCTTTCATCCCAAGCGTCTGCCAGTCGACCAGTGTGCCTGCCACACATTGACCAAGCCAGACACGGTCCACCCAGCTCGAGGATCCCAGGTGCAAGAGTGGCCCCCAGAGACTCTGGAAAGACCAACCACTGGACTTTTTCTTCTTCCCTTGAGAGTCAGAGGTCACCCATGATTCTGCCTGCACCTTATCATTGATACGCAGAGATTTCTGCAAATCAAGAGAACCTCTGCAGGGCAATCCCCTGTTCCCTAAGAACGAAAAAGTGCAATAAGCCCGTTCTTTACCTACTTTTCAGCAGCCCAGGAGATGTAGCACTGTTAGTGTCGCCCTCGGAGGCCTAATGTCACCTGTGGAGCAGTGCCCGTCCCACCCCATCTCTGTTCACCATCTGTTCTCAGGAACCTTACCCATGCTCCAGTGTCCTTCACCTGGCATAGGACATGCAAGGTAAATAGGACAGGCACGTATTTGAGTGTCCTCTCTCTGTTCTGATAAATTCACCCTGTGTTTGCCACGTGCCCTCTAGTCCTCAACTCCTCACTTCCCACTGCCTGATGTCTGCCCTGGCGTAGACACTGGGAGGTGGTGGCAGTAGTCGTGGCCTTATCAGCCGCTCACTTCCATGCTTTCACCCAAGTCTCTGTTGCCCTATATTTTAAAGAACTTGGCCCACCAGACTTGGTACTGACGTGGCTTTTTCATCCACCCACCCATTGGCATTTGTTTCAGAAGCTGCTCTTCTGCCCAGCTGGGCTTTGATCCTTTGGGCTTTTGACTGCTCCATAGGTTTTGGGTGACTTATCCTCCCCAAGGGGCCCAAATAACAACCTCTGCTCCACTCCACAAGTGTGTGGGAGCCTCAAGTTCTCTCAGAGGCAGCACAGTGCATGGGGATGGCTGATAGGGGAGAGGCCTTGCAGCACCAGCCTGCCTCCACCTCCACACTCCTCCTTCCTCACAGGGCTTCAAGCCAAACCAACAGCCTTTTCGTTTGAAACATCTTCAAAGTGGGAAAGGGGCCACTTCTGGCTTTGCTAGCAATAACTGACCTTCAGTTTACTTTTCTGAAGGAGCAGGGACTCAGCACAGAATTCACTTTAAACGGGGCTGAAGGAGTGTCCCTCCTCTATGTGAAAAGAAAATAGTTTTATTCTTCATTCTGACTTTTAACTGTTTGGCTCCCTTCCAGTTAGTTTGAATGAAAGTAATAATTTCTACTTGGAATCGAAGAGGGCAGGAGTGTTAACGCTCATCATTGTGATGTGTAACGTGTCTGCCCTCCACTTGGACATCATTACCGTTAAGTTCCTTTGGGCTTCATGGAAATGCTCTTGTTCCACTCTAATGATGCCCAGACTTCAGGAGCCAAGGTGACCATGCGGTCCACTAATAAGCATGGTAATACCCATTTCCAAGTTTCTTTAAATTTTATCCTTAAAGACAACTTAAGTGGTTGATCATAAAACTTGTATTACTTCATCCTAAATTAAATTAGTAAAACATGTGATTAGTTTCTACTATTCAGAAACTGCAAACTAGGAAAAGATTGGTATGAAAAAATCCCTTTCCTTTCCTCAGTGTACATAGTTCAGCTCTTTCTTTGTTACATTTAAACTATATCCATGGACATCAGTCTGTTTTTGACTCATCTGCTAGTGTTAAAGATGGAAATAAAACCATTAATTTGAACAAAATATCTTTTTCATGCATTCATTTGCTCTTTGGCATCAGAATCAATTCCCCCCAACTCCCCTGTTGCTGAGGTGTGTGGTTCTCATCTGCCTCACGCTCGGTGTACTGTTCAGCGTGTGTGTTCAGGAAAGCTGCATGCCCAGAAGCCAGCATGTCCAGGCCATTTGTGAAGCAGGACCACAATCCAGGCCCTGGAATCTCTAAGAGAACAGAGTCCACTCTGAGAGGTGAGGTTGGCTGAGGGGCTGTCTGCTCAGTTTGGCCAGCTATGTAAAGGCACTGGGAGGCTGCACCGAGCAGTGTGGGTTGAGATTGCCCTGGGAATCTTGAAGTGCAGTGTCCCACACCACCCCTGGCCACCCAGACACAGACCTTGCACTCCAAGTGGGAGCCAAGGCCCCTGGAGCACATGGACATGTCAGTTGTTGCTGTGGGTGAGCAGTGCTGGCAAAGCTCAAAGGAGGGCAGGTACTTGGCAATGGCAGAGCTCTTGCTTTGCTTCTTTGCCTCTCTTTATGCCTACCTAGCAGTTTCCAGGGACCGAAACAGCTAATGTGCTAGGTGCCTGGGCCTCAAAGGCCTACCTTCTAATGGAGATAGTTTGCTTACCATGCTCCTGGCACTGCACTTGACTCTGGGTGGGTATTTAGACAGCTACGTTGCCCTGCTCCTGGAGCATGTTCACTGAAGACACAGTCCCCTGGGCCAATAGGAAATCTAAAGTGACAACAGGAATCCAGGAGAGCCTACAGTAGGAAGTTTAACCTGTCCAGGAATGTTTCCCTGAGGAAGGGATGCAGAGCTGCCATCCTCAAGGTCTAGGAAGTTTTCTAGCAAAGAGAAACCCTAGGCCCAGGCCTGCGAAAGGTGCTGAGAGGGACTTCCATCTTGCGGGCATATGATAGGGTCTGCAGGCCTCCGTGGTACCTGAGGGTGTTGATGAGCCAGACACTGTGGATGGCTACCCAGGGCCCAGCAGTGTCTTTACCCTGGAGCCAGAGCCAGACAATGCAGGCCTCTGTTCTGAGCAAGCCCCAGGGAGGTGGAAAGGGCAGGGAGCTGTGTGTCCACAGGCCCAGCACGAATTAAGTGGATCTGGTGCTGAACAGGAGGGAGCCCCCCAAGGGTGGCTGTGAAAGGAGATTACTAGGTTACTTATTTTTGAAGTTTTCAAACAGTGTCCATCATAACTACAATTTCTATTGCAATATAGAAACAATTTATTTGTGCATATTATGTATCCAGCATCCTTGCCAAATCTTTAATCTGGAATCTTGAATTTCCTACATTCACACCCACATCATCTGCATTGTTCTTTTTTTAATTCTTGGACCTTTCTTTTTCTTACGGATCTTCCTAATACCTCCAGTACATTATTATTACACACAGATGGTGTTGGGGGGCACCTTTGTGTTTTCAGTGTTTCATCAAGAAATGTTTGCTTGTAGGTTCTTGTTAAATAACTAACAGGTAAGGGAGGTTCCTTTTCCAGCCATGAAGTAGGCATTTGTCTTTTGTTTCTGTTGTTTTTTTTTTTTTAATCACAAATGAATGTCTGATCTTATTAGTTCTTTTTCTGCTTCCATTGAGACATAGGATTTTTCTCCTTTAATCAGTTAAAAGCATGCTGGGTGCAGTGGCTCATGCCTGTAAACCCAGCACTTGGGGAGGGAAGATCCCTTAAGGCTAAGAGTTCGAGATCACCCTAGGCAACATAGCAAGACCCCATCTCTACAAAAAAAAAAACCAAAGTAATGTATTACATTATAGTCACGCGTCGCTTAACTATCGGGATGTGTTTTGAGAAATGTGTTGTTAGGCAATTTCGTTGTATGAACGTCATAGAGTGTAATTACATAAACCTAGATGGTATAGCCTGTTACACACCTGGACTATATGGCATATAGGGCCTATTGCTCCTAAACTACAAACCTGTACAACATATTACTATACTGAACATTGCAGGCAATTGTAATACAGGGATATTTGTGTATCTAAACAGAGAAGGTATAGTAATAATAAGAGATGCAACAAAAAAATGGTACGTACCATCTGTATAGGGCATTTACCATGAATGCAGCTTGTAGGACTAGAAGTTGCTCCAAGTGAGTGAGTGAGTGAGTGGTTAGTCAATGTGAAGGCCTAGCACTCTACTGTACTATAGCTTTTATAAACATTGTATACTTAGGCTACACTAAATTTATTCTAAAATTTTTCTTTCTTCAATAATAAATTAGCTTACCATTACTATAACTGTATAAGCTTTTTAATTTTTAAAAAATTTTTGACTCTTGTATTATAATAATACTTAGCTTTTTCTTTATATCCTTATTCTATAGCTTTTTGTCTTTTTTAAAACACGTTTTTATTAAAAACGAGGACGCAAACATACACATTAGCCTAGGCCTACACAGGGTTGGTCTCGCTGCTGTCTTCCACCTCCACATCTTGTCCTACTGGAAGGTCTTCAAAGGCAAAAACACATGGAGCCATCCTCCATGAGAACAGTGCTTTCTGGAATACCACCTGAAGGACCTCCCCGAGGCTGTTTACAGTTAACTTTTTTTTTTTTAATAATAGAAGGACTACACTCTAACATAACAATAAAAAGCATAGTAAGTACATAAACCAGTAACAGTCATGTATGATCAAGTATTAAGTGTCCTGTACATAATTATATCTGCTACACTTTTATACAGTCGACAAAGCAGTAGCTTTGTTGACACCGGCATCACCACAACATGTGAATAATGTGCTAAGTTATGACAGCTATGATGTCACTAGGCAATAGGATTTTTTCAGCTCCATTATAATCTTATGGGACTACCATTGTATATGCAGTTTGTTATTGACCACAATGTCATTATACATCATATGACTATTTGATTTTTCTATTAATACATACTGCATTTGCATTTTTAGATAAATCCACCTTACTCATACTTTATCTTTCTATAAATTTCTTAATTTGTTTTGCCAATATTTGGTTTAAGCATTTTTTTCAAATCCATGCTCATGTGTTGTTAATGAATTATAATTTTCTTATACTGTCTTTGCCAAGTTTTGGATTCAAAGTAAGGCTAGTTCCTTAAAATGAGACTAAGGAGTGTTCTCTCCATACCCTGAATTTGAATTATTTGTTTCTTAGTAGAACTCAGCAATAAAATCTGAGCTGTTTTGGTAAGTTACAGGTTTCTGGGAATTTATACATTTAATCTCTCTTTATAAATTTTTGGCCTAAAGGTCATAATACCCACTTAAAAGCTAATTTTTTTTTTTTTAATAGACAGTCTTGCTCTGTTGCCCAGGCTAGAATGCCATGGCATTAGCCTAGCTCACAGCAACGTCAAACTCTTGGGCTCAAGGGATCCTCCTGCCTCAGCCTCCTGAGTAGCTGGGATTACAGGCACATGCCACCACACCTGGCTAATTTTTTCTATTTTTGTTTTTTTTTTTTTCTTTTTGAGACAGAGTCTCACTCTTTTGCCCAGGCTAGAGTGAGTGCCGTGGCGTCAGCCTAGCTCGCAGCAACCTCACACTCCTGGGCTCAAGCAATCCTTCTGCCTCAGCCTCCCGAGTAGCTGGGACTACAGGCATGCGCCACCATGCCCGGCTAGTTTTTTCTATATATTTTTAGTTATCTGATTAATTTCTTTCTATTTTTAGTAGAGACGGGGGTCTCGCTCTTGCTCAGGCTGGTTTCGAACTCCTGAGCTCAAGCAATCCTCTGCCTCGGCCTCCCAGAGTGCTAGGATTACAGGCATGAGCCACTGCGCCCGGCCTAATTTTTTCTCTTTTTAGTAGAAACAGGGTCTTGCTCTTGCTCAGGCTGGTCTCGAGCTCCTGAGCTCAAGTGATCTTCCCGCCTTGGCCTCCCAGAGTGCTAGAATTACAGGCGTCAGCTACTGCACCTGGCCTTAAAAGCTAATTTTTGAAGCACCTTTCTTCATTAATATTAATTTTTGCCTTCCCTTCTTAAAAATCAGTCTTATCAAAGATTTGTTGATTTTATGTTCTGTATATATTAATTCCAGTATCCAAAGTCTTTGTGGGTCTAATTTCAGTCTTTTGTTCCTGCTGTCTACACTGATGATGATTTGCTTCCGTGTGTGTTTCATGAATTTTTCCTTATACAATGAACCCATGTGGCTTGGTACACTGAAAATTCTGAGACCTGGATTGAAGGTAGGTCACTCCCTAAAGAGGATGTACCTTTGCTTATCTTTTATATTATGAAATATAGCACAAAAAAGGCACACCTCACTGGATTATCTCAAATGTACAGCTCAGTGAATTACCACAAAACCAATGTTCATGAAATAACCAACCTGTAACAAGAAATAGGATATGGATGACATCTGGGAAGCACCCCCCTTGTCCTCCCAGTCAGCACACTCTACATTCTCCCCAAATGTAATCACTATTCTGACTTATATGGAAATCACTCTCTTGCCTATATGGTTTAAGGACCTGAACATACAACCCTAATCACATAATTTAGTTTGGCCTGTTCTGCAAACTCTAAATAGATGAAGTTATTCAGTAGGTATTGGGGAATACATTCCAAAACCCACACATGCCTGGAACCTTGGATAGTACCAAATTCTATATATAGTATTTTTTCCTATACATGAATATGACAATTTAATTTATAAATTAGGCACAGTAAGAGATTAACAATGATAATAAAACAATTTGCTGTAGTAAAAGAATGTAGTCTCTTGAAATATTCTATCATAGCTGAAATGTCAAAAAGCAAAACTGCAGAAAAGTGGGGGCGAGGGAACTACTGTGTTGTATTTGTAAGACTCATTCATTCACGTTCCGTGATGTATAGTGTTTTTGGTTTTGTGTTTTGTTTTGTGTTTTTTTTTTTGAAACAAAGCCTCTCTTGATCCGGGTAGAATGCAGAGGTATCATCATAGCTCACTGCAACCTCAAACTTCTGAGCTCAAGCGATCTTCCAGCCTCAGACTCTGAGTAGCTAGGACTACAGGT